AGTTTCAACAGATTTCCATTAGATACAGTAGCCTCAGGAGGTATATGAAAGCTTGCCTTCAGTGACATTAAACGAACAAACAAAAAATCACCTGTAAACATAAAGGAAACCCTTGGGCAATTATGTGAATTCATCCAGCATTTTATGTGGTACACTTATTATAATCCTTTTATACTACTTAAGATATTAAAATCCTTAAGTGGATTACAATCAATACATGATAATAATACAGAAACACAAAATTAGAAACATTAAAATGTTAAAAACACTGTAACACCATAAACAGCAAAAAGGGAAGTATAAGAGTTCCTCACTGGTCAGGGAAGGCCTCTGTGAACCTCTGCGGCATCCAGAGGTGTTGAAACTAGACACGGTTTCTGTCTCGGTCTTCATCTGGGAGAGTATTGGGGGTACCATCACTGAGAAGACTCTCTTCTGTGCAATCATCAAACAGTGAAGATTTTGGCATTTTTTCCAAAATGCCCAATAGACATCAGATCCTCCAGTCAGGATGAATATAAAGGATGATCAAAATGGACTGCCAAACCCCCTCTCTGCCTCCACACAAAGCAAGTATATGCCATTCTAAGCAGACACTTGAATTACCACTTTACTATATATTTAAGAACACGCTGTACTAAACTCCTCCTGCTCCCCCGGTCTTCTTGGTCACTCTTAGATGAAGAATCAAACATTCAAAGGAAGATCATCTGTCTGGCTAGTGTAACAGCTGCTGAGAAAGGAAGGAAGGAGGTCCAGAGAGAAAAGTTGCATGCATGCAACAGAGACTGTCACAGAATAGGTAACAGGGTTGCCTGTGAGGAAAGCTCCCAGTACTTATAGTGACTCTGAGCAAGCATTGTGAGCCTTTGCCCATTTAGAGAAACTTCCAGGAAGCATATCTCAGTGGTGGATCTAGCTGAAAGGTAAAGGAGTGGAGCAAACTAAAAGTGCTAGCATATTGTAGCTTAAAGCTATTACTGTCACTAACTTTATCTATCAATTACATTTCTATATCACCTAATACTCTGGATGATTTACAACTAAGCCTCAGGAAAGACATGTCTGCCTTTTCAAAATGGGAGGTGGGGCAAATGCACAAAAACCAGGGTACCACCCAGTAAGTGGTGGTCAGAATAAAAGAGGGTGGTTCCAGGCAAAGGGGGCCATCCGGGGATCCCTGTGGGGTGGGATTGAGACCCCAGGCTTGAGGTTGAAATTATAATAATGAGTATAGAGAGAAACTATAGCTCAGTGGCAGAGCACATATTTTCCATGTGCAAGTTCCTGCATTCAGTCATTGGCAACTTCCTCTAAAAGGGTCAGGGAAGAGGTGATGGAAAATAATTCTTTCTGTCTGAAACCTTGGAGAACTGGTGGCATTAGGAAACATTACTTGTCTTGCTGGAGAACAGCTCAACTTGAACAAGGCTACTTCCTACATTCCTATTTACTAGGCAGGATCCCACCTCTGTGACTTGAACCATTTTCCCACTGCCCACATTCTGTATTAATTTTTCTCCTCACTATGTCACTGCCATTTCTCCCCAGTATGTAGTTTCCATACTTGGAGTGCCCCAGAAGTGGAGATGTTCCAGCAGCGGTTGCTCAACATCTCAGGCAAAGTCAACACCCAAGAAAATGCATCAGTTGCCTTATTGTTCAGCTGGCCCTGAAGGACAAGATCATGAAAGTTCCAGAGTCTGGATACTGGGAGGATGGAAGCTGCAGTCCAACACATATAGAGGACAGCATCTGCGGAAAGCCTTGTCGTCTATTTTCTTAAGACCAAAGAACCACCTGCAGATCTGGGCTCTGATGGCCAACATAGCAACTTTTTTCAACTAAAGATGGAATCCTAGCGATTGCGCCCTTCATGTTTGGAAATCCTCAGACTCAGAGTCTTCAAATCATCCATTGCAGGGTGGGAGGAGGAGTAGGGGTGATCTTTGCCTCCCTGCCCTTCTGCCGTGCAATTTTCCTAGACGGTCCTTTTTGTGATGACCTTTCAGAACAGGAGAGAAGGAGGTTGGAAGACAGTCAGGCTGCCCATATCCTGGCATCTCTGCTCTTTCCACCCCCAACCACCCACAGAAATGCTCCCCTTTCTCCTTCTCCAGGGTCAACTTTCTAATCTTGGAAAGCAGCCAGAGCTGTTCTTAATGTGCTGGTTGCAAGGGGAGCACTGTCTCTGTCCTCAGAAGGTGGATTTTGAAGTATCCCATGACTCCTTGGACACTGTCTAGGGCCCTAGGATTGCTCCCTCCATGCCTGTGGCAATTAAGTACATGCCTTATTCATACCATGCTGGTGCACAAAGCTTTCTATGACTTTGCGAAGGCTATTTTCTGAATGGTCTTGCAAATAAGCTGAAATGAGGATTGGCAATGGACTGATTAATACCAACTGGATGGAGCTATTCAAAGGAATGCTGCCCATGATGCACATGTTCTACTTTGTAACTCCTTTGATAGCCCACCAGTCACAGAAAGAGACAAACCAGGCTATACTAACTGTATAGCATGTAGTGGAAGGTTAACTTTTTAATGATTCTAGTAGAACTGTGTATGGCCCTTATTCAGATGAGGACCTCTGTGTGATGGGGGAAGATTAATATTTTCCTGTATCTTTCTGAAAGCTCCCATCCCTGGGGTATTATAGCAAAAAGAAAAAATATATCCGCTGGCATCAATCAAGCCCTTAAAAAAAAAAAAAAAACGTTGGGGGGGGGCATTCCAGAAAAAGTGGCAGTGGTGAAAAACTATTTTCCCTTCCATGTCCCAGCGCAAAGTAGGGCCACACACACTTATCCCAGAGTAAATAAAAAGCTAACCCTCAGCTGTACACCATGTAATGTGTACTTCACAAAGCCTTCATCAAGGAACACACATCCCTCCTTCCTTGAATTTCTCACACAGATGAGTAGATTTATTCCTTTGACTAGTTTAGTATGTTGTGGCAGCTACTCAAAAATTATTTGCAATCTGTTGGGTTTAGAGCTGTGTGGCCTCCTTCAGACTGAAGTTTACCTTAATCTCTTCCTCTTATGTTCTTAAGATTGTAACACTTAATTGGCAAGTCTGGATTATGACCCTGAGGTCCGCTAGAAAGTAAATTCCTAATTAAAATCAATCAGTAGCAAGTCAGCCAGTGCCTTCAATTCTAAGATTAGTAGCTTGCCATTCCACACCCGCCCCCCGCTACCCCTTTCATATATATCTGTCTCATAGGAAACACATCAAATGTTCAAGCCCAGTCCAGGAGGACTGCTCAAATATACGAGATGGGAAACAGAGGGCTAAAACAAACAAACACACAAAAACAAACACACAAACCATCACCCAGTTTGTATCTTGCATATCTCCAGCCCCCACTTTCTTCTTGGGGGAAAGCTCTGATTAGAGTAGCAAGAGTGAATTCTAATCATGCTCCATCCCTAGAGAAGATGCTCTTTGTTGGGTTGAAGTTGAGGTCATCTGCAAGTAGGCGTAAAATGCCAGTGCAGTTGCTGCTGCTTTGCAGGATAATTGTTCCATGAAGACAATTGGGAGATGCTCACTGTTGATCAATAATTTAGCTCTCTTCTACATGCCTTTTGGGTTAACTGAGGGCACGGCACACACACTGCTGGTTGCTCCCATGCTTGTAAGGACTTTCTCCCTTCTCACCCAATATGACAAACAATATACATATGATTACTTATACATACAATAAGTAATTCAGATAGTATTTAAGTTGGAAAGAAGCATGAACTTAAGCATGTGTACCCCCAAACATAAGCAAATAGTAATTAGAACTGGGGAAAGAAGGAAAGACAATCAGTAGGAATCATTCCTATTTTAAATGGGAGAACCTGCTCCTGTATTTGCCCCTCTAACTCTAAGGCAATGAATGTTCAAATTCAGGGAGAGGTCATTCAGGTACAAGAAATAAGAAAGTGAACAGAGAGGTCACTCCCTCTGTGCAGAGGTGGAAGCACAATCTATAGTCTTAAACAGGGAACAGACCTATAAAGGATGCCCTGTAGGACAGTACAGGTGTGCCCAGTCTCCTTCACCTCCAGTGGCATCAGTGGGCAGACCAGAAATGTCCCAAGTGCTGCTCAGAGAACAGAAAAGTGCCCCAGGACATTGATAACGCGACAGGAGAAACCATCATGACAGCCACAGAGTCAAGGTAAATACAAGGGTTTGTACACTGTCAAATGCACAGTATAAAATGCTAAACGTGTAGGGAGGGGCAAAATGATGCAAATATCAGAAATGAGACTCTACTGCTTTCGCCATAACATACAAGAGATGTTTAAAGCCAAACATGACATCAGAAACAAAAGTCTGATAAGAGGCTATGTAAGTTTTCTAGAATGACATGACACTACCCTAAAAACACTTCATGAACACCAGAGGCCAAGCAACCTTTTGAAATCACTGTGAAACACAGTCCTAAATGTCATACCAGAAAGGAAGTTATAGAATGCAAACTGCAACAGACCACAAAAGTGCCCTCACACACACACCCACACACACCCCTTATATCCCATTCTTTTATCACAGATATCCAGGCAGCTATCCTTTGAGGAATATTAGTACAGCATATAGAAACAATACCAGTGCAGATTTCTTTTTCAAAACATGAGCACATACATCAAAAATGGCCAGAGTCGATATCAGCAACCTATTCTGCATTTATATCAGCCGGTCACTGATGTCTCTTTCCTTCTCTGATAATTAAAGGCAATCTCTACCCAATATGTAAAGTTGTCTTTAAGCTGCTTTTTGAACCTGATTGGATCTCCTTGGAGGCAGGACAGAACACCAATACATTGTCATCCCATTGCAAATATATTGTGAGAAAACTGAGGGAATGTCACAAAAATAGTAACAACAATAATACTGCCATATTTGTACAGAGATGGTTCCTCTGAGCATTGCCAGTATAATAGATACAGAAGGTAACTTGCCCATGCGGTTCCAGCCATGCTGGTTGTAGTAAATACTTACTGGTCAGGACCTTGAGGTTGTAAGGGTTTTTCTGCTGGATGGTGTGAGTAAATGCAAAGCGAGCATTGCAGCTGTAGTCAGTCAGGGCATCCTCCTGCATGACATTGGAGAAATATAAGTCACCATTCTGCCCTTGGGAGACACGCTGGTCTTGGTGGATTGGCTCCATGGCTGTAAGAAAGAACAATAATTCTTGTTGGAACTCACAGCTCCGCACCTCTGCATTAGACCTAACAGCAACAGTCTATGAGCCCAAACTACCTGGAAAAGGTATGCATTGATTAATTCTAGTTAGCACTGGCATTCAGCTCAGGAGATACCTGATCATACAAGGTGCAGAAACTTCAGTTCATGGGCCTAATCTGTCCCACAGAATGGCTGAATCTGGCCTGTGTAGCTTCTTGCGGTTCCTCCAAGGGGTGGAACTTAGCCTTCAAGCCAAGTTTCTTGGAAGAATCTCCTTGGAGGGCACCTTCCCACTGCTATATCCAATCAGAAATCAGACATAACAGAAGGGATTCTCATCGTGGCGGTGGGGATGTGGTGCAGCCTGGGCCGGGGTGACTTTCTCTGTGCCTCCTTCCAGCATGGAGAACAGAAGGAGTGGCATGACTAGGTGGGGTCATGCACCATGGTGGTCCTGGTGAGAGGTTTTGCAACCCTGTGATAGGCCCACATTAGTTACCTCAGTTGTTGTATTGGTGAAAAGAAACAGGAAGAACTCATTTTATCTAGACTGTTAGTTAACAGGGGATATGCTATCCTTCAGTACAAATGTTTTCAGGGCACTTCACAGCATGAGAATGAAAATAATAAAACCATATCACAATGCATGTGTACACTGAGACATGAGAACATCCACCTGGCTTTTTGTGTAGACACTTCACATGTTTGTACATGTCAACACTTCACACAATCAGTTTATCCCATGCGCATCTAGTCCACATGGAAAATAAAATATTTGGGAAGGTAAATCTCAATAGATTGTGGTAATCAGCTCTTGTCCAGAGTTTTGGCCATGGTCACCCAAAGGCAGAGGAACTCAGATGATTGTGTTGGATGGCATTTTTAAAGGTGTGTCAAGGAAGGATTGTGCAGTGTGAGAAGTATGTCTCAGAACTTCTCCAACTCTTTGGAATAATATGGCAACTGCGCTGGCTGTAGCTCCATTTCTGTTTATCTGAATCACAAGAGTTCTTCCTTGCATCAGTATTTGGAACGTGAAAATGTGGAAAGGCAGGAAGATTACTCTTTTGAAGTTAAGCCTAGAGCTATGCCATCAGTAGCCAATACAGATTAGGGTAATCTATTAGATCAGTCTAAATCAGATACTGCTAGGAAGCCCTCCTCCTCTTCAAGTACGGTTCTAGCTGACTAACCAGAGTGCACTTACAGCTGCTCATCCAGAATATAGCAGGAGGTGGCAGTCCAGGAGGTGGATTGCATGCCAAGATAAGATGAGCACCTTCATGAACCTCTTGAATGTCCAAGTTTTCCTTGGGCCACAAAGGAGACTCTGCAATAAAAAATGTTGAAAGTACAGTTACATTTGCATGTAGAGGCATAACATGCCAACAACATCCATCTTGCTTCATGCATACCCTTTGCTCTATGCTGTTCCTATTCCTGCAAACCTTCAGCCAGACCAATTTGCTTTAACATTCCCACACCTTCTGCTAACCCTCTGCAGCCCTTCCCTGGGCCTCTGGTAGCCTTGCTTTGAAATGGCTGTCCAGTCAGCTACCTCAACCACTGCAAAGTGCCTTGCCAGCGAGCAAAGCATGGCAGCAGCAAACAAATTACCCAGAAGACTGCAGCTCAATAACCCCTTTTCAATTCCCTGACAGCTGAAATGAACAACAGGAGGAGGAGAAGCACACATTTTCACCTGAGAGATGCAAAGGGTTGTTTTGCATTAGCTTTCTAATTATTATAACTGTATACTTTGAAAGACAAAAAATAGCCATCCACAGAAAGGAGGAACAGCCAAGCTTTCAAAATTTCTATACCTCTACTAGTTGTGTGTAGAATTTTAGAATGCCTACTTCTTAAAGCTTCTTTGGCACTCTGAAATGTCATGTCATCCCTGCTAAATTGCCTCTTAGACATGCAGTTATTAAAAATATGGAAGATCTAATGGTGAAAGGTTGACTGACTCCATTTAGATGAAACCAAAATTAGGATAACTTCAGTGAGCATCTTTCATGATATGAGCACATTCCCATAGGTGCTATGTAGTAATAACATGTATGTCACAGAAAAAAAATAAAGTTGGCATAAAACATTTAGAACAAAAATTATGTGCAATTATCTTCCGTAATGACTGGTGCCAAACTATATGGGAAACTTACTGCACTAGATTTAATATTCTGGGCCACAATTTAAGGCATGTTTGGACAGAAGTAAGTCTTACATCTCCCAGCATCTCCAGCCAGCTCTATTGTTCTAATACTTCTTCCTACCTGAACATGTTATAGGATTTCATTATTTGCATTATTCTACATACTTGTCCATTTATTGATATCAAAATGTACTCCTTCTTTCTGCTAGTTAACACATCCACTGTTAACAAATGCCACTAGCCAACCACATTCACATGCAAATCCTAAAACAATATAATAGTTCTAATTTTCAGTCTGAGACCTTCTTTAAGTCAGGTTTATTTATTTTATTTATTTATTACAGACATTTATATCCTGTCCTTCCGAAAAGCGCTTAGGATGGCTTACGCAATATAAAATTACAATAGTATAATAGTAAAACCTCAATTATGAAAACAATATAAAACAACACATCATAAACTTAGAGAAAAGAAAAGGGAGGAAAAGAATAGAAAATTGTTCTGGCTTCCTCGGGGGAAAAAAGACAGCAACTGTGGAATGATTTATATTTGTTTATGAAAACATATCTGATGGCCAGACAGTTTGGTTCAGAGCTAAGGAGAGGATGCCAGCTCCTCAATATACCGCAGGGAGTCACCTTCAAAGACTCCTCCAGGAAACCTCCGGAAAATACAATTATTAAAGGGGAGAAAAGCCACCACCTCAAAAAACAAACAAAAAAAAACTTATCCTCAAACAAAAACAAAACCCCAGCCATATTCAGTTTCTAAACAACTTGGAACGATCAGTTCAAGAAACATAAGCATCATGAATAACAAACTCCTGCTTAAAAAAACAAGCAAACAATGGTTTTTCAAGTTGTTACTTCGAAACATAACTGCAGCTCATTTGCATCAATTTTGAAAACCTCATATATTGCTAGAAGTGCTCTTCTGTCTCTAGCACTACCCCACACAGTACCAATTCCCAGGTAGGACTGTATGAGAATTTTGTTTCTGCTGAGAACACATGCCAGCAGTCCATTTGCCAGCTTGAATGCAAACAGGGGAAAATGTCTACCAAAAGTGGTCACAAATGCTCGAACATGCGCTCATGTTGCACAGTTTTCCCTGTTAGAATTGCACTAAGATTCCAAATTTGGGTAAATTTTAGACTCAAACTCATTTTAATCTATGGGGAAATTTGTGCAACTTTGGAGATTTTTGCGCAACTTCCACAGTTGATTCTTGCACTATTTTCTCATTCACACAAAATGAGCAGTGCTTGCAAATCTGAACAGAAATGATGCACAAGCTGAAGTTTGATGAATCTTGCTAAGTTCAAACAACAGGTGTCCACCCATCTCTATTCCCAAGGACAGAAAATACGAGCAAACCACACACACTGTCTAGAAGTCTATAAACAGTATCATTCCAAAGCGCACTGCTGTTATACTCACTTGAAACCTGTAGGAATATTTTGTTGGAGATGGCTGTTCCCAAGTCGTTCCGAGCAAAACACTGATATTCCCCCTCATAATCCTCCGGCCGACCACCACTGCGGAAGTCAACAGCCAGTGTACCCGACCAATGCTTCATGCTTACTCTTGGGTCCTTGGCGATGTTGAAAAATTTCCCATTTCGTGTCCATGAAAATCTGTGAAACATATTTACACCAGAGAGACAATGACCTTGTCTGCCTAGGAAGAGCTTCATGGTTTACAGATTATTTGAGTTCCATTTACTCTCCATGCATTAATGAGATGGGTTCCTACATTCTATATGCTGGGAGAAGCATAACTTTAAGCATAATGTAGCAGCAAATGTAGGATTCTATCTCTCATTTTATCAGAGGGAATAAAGGGGTTGAAATATTTATGTGGATTTTACTGGAATAACCATTACATGGTACATTTAGGTCACACCACAAGGCACTCAGCTATAGTGGCTGAAACAGAAGCTTTATGATACAACTTCCCTTGATTGTTGCAGAGAAAACTGGGTGAGGGCTTAATTTCAACCGTCCAATGCACTTGACTGGACACAATCAATAAATTAGGAATTACCTCCAAACCATTTCATAAAAATGACTGCATGTTTAAAGATGGTGCATGCTGGGGAAACTGGGACCCTGTGGATGTCTGGGAGGCTTCTACCCTCATCAGTCCAACATGACCAATGGGGGGGGTACCACATTGTTTTCTACGAATACCTGGGGTACCATACTTTCCCCACCAGTTTACAGTCATCATGAAGAAGCAGCCAATATAGCCACACTGTGATGAGGGCTGTGGTGCCACACAGCCAGGTCTGGGCTTGTTCACCTCATTGATGATAAGCACTGAGCTCTGTGGAGAACGGATGGGGTGGAAGCATAACAAATGAATTAGAACTGCACTCACATGGGATTGGGGTTGCCTTTTGCTTCACATTCAATGAATATATTATCCCTTGGATCTACAATATAATCCTTCACAGACTGTTTTGTGATAGTGGGGGGTTGAGGCACTGCAAAGCATACACAAGAGAGAGAGAGAGAGAGAGAATAAGGGGAAAATGAAGCCATTTCTACATATTGCCATTTGAAGTAATACAGGTTTAAGCATAAGGGCTCTTTTCTGATGTGACCGATGCCTCTTCTGCATTGTCTCATGAACTGTACAAGCCACAAGGACTCTCCAGAAGAAAAATTAGGAACTCCACAGGCCCTTCTGTTCTAAAGAAGTTCAAGGCTATGGTACTTGCATCAGTTATCAACAGACTCCTTTTGCCCTCATGCCTGTGAGAGGCATGGAGCTCAATCCACAGGAAGGTTCATTCCACTGTGCAAGCCCCATTTAAGTGAATAGGAGCTGGGCAAAGGGGCGGGGGACATACACCTCCCCATGGATTCTGCCCAGATTGCGGCTGTGAAATAAGGAGGCGCTCTGTCCTCACTGAAGTTACTTCGCTCACATAGCTGTTTGCACATACACTAGCAAGGCTTTCCTTTCATGGTGAAGGAAGAGATCTTTCCTTATACAAAGCCAAACAGTCACAGGCAGAATAGGAACACTGGTGAGGCTGGCAGCATAAACTGATACAGCGGGAGTGCCAAGAGAATCCTGGATCAAACCCCACCCCCACCCCGCAGAGAAAAGGCAGGAAATAATAGTGCTTCTGAAAACAGATAGCTGCAGATGGCAATAAGAATGAGAAGATCCGGCCAGTATCTGGCTTTTTTGTGCTCGCTGGACTTTGGCCCCGGGCAGGAAGCAAGCTGAGCAGAGCTTGAGAGTGCAAGTATTAGGAACGCTAGCAGTTCTCTGTGCAAAGTACACAGTCCTTTGTGCAAGTCACACAAGATGAAGCAGCACTCTCCTTGCACAGTGAGTGCAAGAGCAGTGGGTGGCATGCATGCAAGTCGGACTAGCAGATGCATTTAGACTTGCTTCTTGCCGGACACCCCTATGAAGGCTCAGTGGACGAGAGAGAGAGAGAGGAAATTGGTGGGAGACTGGGGAGCCCAGTTGATCAGGTCTGACAGATTCCCACCCCCAAACTGGGTTCCTCACAAATTGCTATGTGCCTTAAGCAAAGAGGCAAGGTACACCCTCCAGGAAAAGTCAAAGACATATATTGTGAAGAGAGACACATGATGTTGCTTGCACATCATCAGCCCCATTTCAAAGCTGAGGAATACTGAGGCACGCAGACTAAGAATTAGCAGAAGAAGTGTCAAGAAATCCATGACAGAGAATGCTTAAGCAGAAAGAATAATTAGGGTCCAATCTTACACACGTTTAAACAGATTTTTTTCGTTTAATCATGCATAAGATTGTACTTTCAGTAATACAGATTTAGTTTGACTTTAAGGAGAGTACTTTCCTAGCTCAGGAACTGAAACAGCCTCCTTCTCACACACTTAGAATTTAAATAAGTTGTTTCCAAACAAATGTTTCACCCTAGATTTTAACTGTATCTGTTGACACTACTTACTTGCTGTTCCACAAGAACATGACTAATCCTGACCCTCATTGTCACTTCTTGCAGCAGTTCAGTTCACAAAGTAACAACCCCACCTACTCTCCTTTAAAGTTCTTACCCACATAGTGCAGAATCCCCTTTTTTTCTTTTTTGCTGCTTTGAAAAAAAAGTTCATTTTTGAATGAAGGATTTGTAGTGGCACATGCAGGGCCGCACCACCCTGCCACTCCTCGCCTCAGCTCTTCCATCCCTCACCCCTGCAAAGTTCAGCGGATGCTCTGGATGGCTTTCCCCGTTCCTCCCCAGGCATAAGGGGTCCAGGAAAAGCAGAGAGAACCAACTAGTCAACATTAGAAGCATCTCATTTGCATTTAGCACTGAAGACTTTTCCAGCTGATGTTCAGAGGGGTGGGGAAGCAGCAGTAGTATTTATATGACTCCGCTTGACACAGTTCACACATAATAGCAATCCAGATTTCAACAATGCTGTGTTGTACTATGCATATGGCAGCATTTTTGCTCATGCTCATTGATTACTCCAACTAAACAACCAGAAACTCTGGTACGATCCTCTATTGATGAACCAAAGAAACAATGCAACAAACTGTGGATCCTTTCTCTGACTTTCTCGGGGGACAGACAAGCCAGAGTTCCTCATCCCCACAGACTTTTTAAAGTTTAGTTTGCTTGTTCATATTCCTGAGCATGAGCATCTTTTTTGCACACTCAAAAACGGTGGTGCCAAAGTGCACACTTCCCTCATGGAATAAAGTGCAAAAAAATTGTGGTTGGGGGTGGGGGGAGTTCATCCTTGTAGAACTGTTCAATTACAAGTGCAAACACAAGTGCAGGACATTTGCAAACATTTTCCGAGAGCTGTGCTCCTGCTCATATTTACATTTGTGGTGCAAAAAAGGACTTGTTTGCATTGTGGTGCAAAAAAGGACTTGTGAACAGGAACAAAATTCTTGAATGTCCTTAAAGGGTCCCACTTGCAGCACAAATGGTGGTGTGGCATGCACCACAATTCTGCTGTCTTCACTACTTCAAAGAGCATGGATAGTTGTGATGTGCAAACCAGGCTGGTGCCTTTGGGACTAACATAGTGAATATCATTTGCTGCTACAAGAAAAATGTATCACTTCCTTTACTTTGGTTCTGTATACTATCATCTAGCTATGAGCTATAAGTTCAAGGTGCAAAAAAGATAAACTGCTCTTTCTTGAAAGATCTTTCTCAGCGTCAGGGACCATGAACCATACAAGTGGCGCTGCTCCTGCAGCCCCAGGGCAAGGTACAGATTTCGTCTGCTCCTTTTTTCAGACATGAACTACTTCAGGGGAGAGGGGGAACAGGTGGGGAAGTAGGACTTACATGTATCTTGAATACTTGCTGTTAATTCGAAGGTGTAAGCATAATAATAAAAAGAGAGAGAGAAACATGTAGGGTTAATTGAAAACATTTTAGTTCTAATATTAAATGTCTAAAGGGTTAAAACAAAACACAAATTTTAATGGTTATTATTATTATTATTAGCCTCAGAATGCTCCTCTGGGCTCCTGTGAAGAAGCGTTAGGTGAAATAACAATGGGAAAAATACGATTGCAAAAAGGTAAATAAAAGTATGCAGTTTGCAAATATTGTTGGCAACAAAGACCATTCTTTGGCAACAAAGTCATTCAAGCCTTTAAAGAGGCTGTTCTCTCTAATGTACACATCTTCCTTTCTGCCTTCCTCAACCTGATGCTCTCCATTTATGCTGGATTCTAACATCCATCACGCCCAGTCAGCTTAGGACTGCTTTAACACATGGAATGATTTGCCTAGACAAGATAAACTTGCAAGTTTTACATGTGTAATTTAAGCCCATTCCTTAAAAAAAAATTCAAGTTCATGTATGGTTCAAGGATACACAGACTGAGGGCTACTCCAAAGTTTTGTGGAGGCAAAGAATGTAAAGTATTCTGGTAGACCAAAACCTGAGCAAAAGTAATCATTCTGCTCTCCTTTTTCCTTATTTGAACTGTAGCTTTCAGTGCCTCTGTTTTCAGAGTATAATCTCCATATGCCCAGCCAAGACATAAAACAAAAACAACACCCACATCAAATAGAAGACTCTGTTAAAAGCTTATAACACTACAGATCAACAGTAAATGTTACATATGACGTTTCATTCTCCATTTGTGAAATCAGAAGTAATATTTTATATTCAAACTAACACAAGGATAGAGAGATTTTTTCCTTATTAATCCTTGCTAGTACAAAAGAAAAGCAAAAGCAAAATGTATCTTTTGTTTGAAGCATATTCATCTTCTACATAGACTTAACTGATAGCCAAAGGCTTTTCATAAAGGATACATAACTCAGGTAGGTCCAAACATCCTAACACTGGCTGCAGGAAGCTCACAGAGAGGAACAAATACAACCACTACACTCTTATTTGTCCCCAGCCTCTACTTATCCGTGCTGTAGTGTCTAGTCATGGAGGATCCATTCAACTTGTCATTACTAATGTTCATTGAAAGAGCTATTTTCATCTAGCTCTTTCTAAAATCCATGGGCCATACCCAGTAAAGATGCTGCTTCCCAGCCAATTCATTTCCAGTGGCACCTTCCTCCACTTCCATTGTGGAAGTGGCACTCACCATTCATGCAACGGAAATTTAATATTTCTAGAGGAAGCCCTGGGATGAGTTTCTGAACTGGGACAGGTCAGCAGAGCTCGCTTATGTGACTTCCACTGTTGTGTTGTCCCTTTCAAAGTGTTCATAACATACAAGATGAAGAAAGCAGAATTTTCACCGGGAGCATGGTGCGTGGGATGGGAAAAGAGTTCACCTGTTTTTCCTACTCAAGCATCCAGACAAAAATCCAGTCCTCCATGTTATGAGCCCAGGAGGAAAGTTCCCAGGTTACACTATCTCAATGACTCAAAACCATTTAAAAGCAAGTTTACAGTAACATTCTGTGCATGTTCACACATACATAACCCCTAGAATGCTGACAGATGGGGCTTTTCTTGTAGTTATGGGCCATCAAGTCATCTCCACCTTTTAATGATGCCAGGAATGAAAGTCCTCCTGAATGTCCTATCCATGACAGCCCTGCTCAGCTCTTGTAAATGCAAAGCTGTGGCTTCTGAATGGGGCTTACTCTGAGATAAATGTGTACATGATGGTATCCTAAATTGCACTGGTCCTAATACAGTTATTTGGGGCTCACTTCTGCTCACTTTCACTTATTATGAAAGCTGTTAATTGATTCTAATTCTCTGCTCCCTGGGATTTAGTCAGTGACCAATCCACTTGTCTTTTTATCCTACAACTGCTCAGTTTTGTTAGGAAACTGCTATAAGTGAACAATATCTAGCAGGTTGCTTCTATGGCACATACTTGTTGACAACTGCAAAATTCCACAAGGTGGTAAGAGAAGGTTTGCTTTCTGGTCTTGTACTGTTCTTTGCACAAATCATCTTCTCTTTTCAGTTTTTTGTCATGTATGCAATGTGTATCATCAGTCTCTCCTAAGGATCTTTTTGTGTGAATACTCATAATACTGCAGCTTGCTTTAGCAGCTGCAGCGTCCCCAAGATGATCAGAGGAAGTTTCCTAGCTAAGCAGCTCAGAATTAAGATCTGACACCCTGCTTTTGCCAGTAGAGATTTGCTCTAACTCACATCCTTGCACCTGTAGAAAACACTAATCTCCCTCAAGGGGGGTGGGCTTGTGGGGGTTCAGAAGCAGGAGGGCCCATTTGCTCCAGGAGCAGCAATTTGCACACTTATCATATACCCACAGCAGCTGTAGCTATTTATGTGCCACCTGCTCGACTTAGTAAAACCTGAAGCCTTTCAAGTTCTCAAATAGGAGTGATGAATTAATTAGTTGAGTCTCTGCTATGAACAATGGGGCAAGCACCAGAAGGCTAAGGGAGACTGAGCACTTTCTATGTTGAATAAAAGAAAGATTAAAAATCCAATTCCCAGGCAGCTTGTGTGAAGGAGAAGGCGACTCCAGAGCCTGATGGCACCAGAAGGAAAGAGAGAAAGAAAAACCTTTGAAATGGGCCCAGCTGGATGAGGCAGATGTTTATCAGATCCCTTAATACTTCCCATTGATTTGGGACACCCCACTTTCCTATTTCATCCTGTTACAAGATCCTGGGATAACAACATTTTCATTTAAGCAAGACTTCATTAGATTCGTCGGGTTACCTTAACAAAAGCAGACACACTGAGTAGCTGCTCTGATATCTCCTTGCTGCAGGACTTGCTCAGCTGTCCAAATGTTACAAGCTGGCATATAGGGCAATCCTAAACATGTTTACGCAGAAGCAGGTTCTGCATTTTCATTTCCTCTCTTGTACACATGCTCGAGATTACTACCTCAGCACTTGAAATGAGTTAGTGCTGCTGTGTGGGGTGGGGTATGGGAAGGTAGGCAAACCAGGTGTGTTGTCAACACAGCTGGACACCAGGCAGGTGTAGGTTGCAGTACCGGGACAGCAAGGAGATGGCTGGGTGTTGCAAGGTACCCGAGCACTAATACACAGGGCCAAGATGTGATAATATGGGCCAAGTATTGAACACAGCCAACAGGAAAGGTCTGGAATTGATGCACACTGCCAAAGAAAAATTAAAATTAAATAAAACACTTTGCCACTTCCTAACTTACAACAAGGAGCTCATTACATACACCTCCTGCCCCCAGCAGAGTATCGTGGTAATCAGGCAGCTAATATCAAAGTACTAACTATGCCCTTGACGGAAGGTGCTTTAGAAATGCAAAGCATTGTTTTAAAAGCACTGCAACCTTTAGAGTAACTAGAATACTGAGTATGCTTTTAAAAACAACAAAACACCTTTCTGTGGTCATATTACACTTGCTAAGACAATATGGTTCATTCTTCCTTTCAGTGGAAGGAACAGCACCACAGGAAGTTCTTTTAGAAATCACTTGTGTTCGAGTTCACTACTCCTACTTTCCTTTCAAGTGGCTCACATATCAGAACAAGAGCCTGTGCCCAAGCTGCAAAAACCTTCAGTGTTTCAGCAATGAAGCTCAGTGTAAGTTTGACTACAGCAAAGAGTTCTTTCAACAAAATCCACATGATCTAAGCCATTAAGGGATTCTTAATAGTTCAATCATCTGCATATTTACTAAGAAGTTAGCAGACTTCCCCAATTTCACACCCTCCAGGTATGTTGGGCTACAACTCCCATCATTCTGACCCTGCATGGTAGTTAGGATGATTGGAGTTGTAGTACAAAGCACCTGGAAGGTGCCCAGTTGCAGAAGGCTGGTGCATAGGACAGCATCCGAAAGAACTCCATCCAATTTTAGACTCAAATCCCCAGCAATCCATGGAATATTTAAAAATCCCCCTTTAGAGATACTTGCTTAGCTCAGTTTGAAGCAATATTCGAGTCTAGATCTAAGGTAACTTCACCAACAAAAAGAGGAAAACAAACCAATCTAAAATACTTAGTGCAAGAAAAAGTAAGAATCAATTTCAGACTCTTAGGAAGTTTTTTTTCCTTCATCAAAAGATGTTCTCTAAAACTATGCATAACTGGTGCTCAATTCCAAACTGAAGTGAGTTTTCCCATCACTATATAGAACTTGACTTTCACATCTAGAGCCGAAACTCAGCTCTTTTTAAAGGCTCATGATGTAACAGCCTAGCAGAAGTTAGGATGAAGATCTCAGTGGGTAATCTGGGAAAATTCAGTCAAGAACTTGAGTTCACAGAAAGTAGGCATGTTGTAATGCAAGAAATCATGACATAAAATGCCAAGCTGCGCATTGATTAAAAGCTCCCAATCGTCAAACAATATAGATGTAAGGCTCAGAAAGCTGAAAGCAAATCTATATTCTGTTAAAGTGTCATGACCTGAGGCAACCGTTACTTTCAGAAACCAGGTTTGTGATGTTTACTTTACAGAGCATTCCTGGCTTAATTACAGGTGAATGGCTGCTAATCGGACATTTGCTCCTGACAGGTTCAAATCTGGCTCTCAAGTGGGTGCTGCACCTGAAGGGGCATTTCTGCCCTGCCCCCTCTGATGACAACAGATCAAAGGAGACGCCCTTGACATGTCCTTTCTGCCTGAGACCTCCCTCCAGATCAAGTCTTCCAGCTGTGGAAGAGAGGCAGCACCACGCCCCCTCTGTGTTTGCTAGGAAGTGGGAGGCCTGGAAGAACACAATTCTCAGGTCTACGGTCTCACACAGCTAGGACTGACCCTACAGTGTCTTCTTCCAAGGTAGAATCAGCACCTGAGGCTATAATTTCATCAGTGCTCGGGCAAGGTTTCACATCAGCACTGCACAAGGGAATGCTTACACTAGTGCTTATGTTACTTGTGAGGTAGGCTAGGCCAGCAGAGAGTG